CCCATCTCCCCCCTCCCCCCCACATCCATCAGTCCTCAGTGTGTTTCTCAGCATTCAAGAGTCTCTCATGGTTTGCCTCTCTCCCTTTCCCTCACCATTTCCCCCCTTCTTCTCCCCCATGGCCCTCAGTTAAGTTCCTCCTAATCCACCTATACCTGCAAACATATGGTATCTGTCCTTCTCTGCCTGACTTATTTCACTCAGCATAACACCCTCAAGGTCCATCCATGTTGCTACACATCATGGCCTTGCTTTTCTTTATTTCATTACTTTATTCTTAGAGTCTAGCAGCAAAATTGCTGCAGCATGTTAAAACCTCATATCCTACACATGAAATGTGCAAAGGAAGTGCGAGGGTCAATTCTTGAAGCATTCCCAGACTAGTGAGAAATTTCCTGCAAATCAAAATTCTCTGCAAACCTCTTCATGGCTTTTATTGGCCAGAGTGCATTCCACATCAATTCCTAAACTAATCACCATCCAGGGGAATGGGATTATATTTAGCTAACTACTGGAGTAAAGATTGAGAGCAATTTACCCTGAAGAACATGGGCTGCATGGTGAAGGAGTAGATACCTGAATTGGCATAGTGGCTAGGTATGAAACCAGAAATGCCAACAATATCCATCACTGGAGATGGAAGGAAGCAGGAGAATTTAATAAATATCAAGTCTGCTAATGTGTTGGTGATATGTTTTGGGGAATGAGGGGAGAAGTTTAGGATGAGACACGGGTGTCTGGCCTTGGCAGTTGGAAGCATGATGGGCTACTGATGAAATAAGAGACGAAACAAAATAGACAATGGAGGGAGGTGGTAAATTTGGTTTTGTGTGTTGAACTTGAAGTGCCAATGAAATGTCCAATGGACATGTCCACTGGAAATGTACAATGTTTGATGTGCTTAAGAATAAGATTTAGTCTGAATATGCATATCCAAGTGACATCAGCACATAGAGAAAATTGAATAGGTGAGATAATCCAGGGAGTGAGTGGAGGGGAAAAAGAGGAAGAATTTAAGTCATTGAGGAAGAGGATGAGAGCAAACGAGAAAGTACTATAGGAAATGTAGAAGGAAAAATCTGGAATGTTTGGTATTAGAGAAGCTGAGGGATGAGATCATTTCAAGAAAGCGATGATAGTTACATTGTTACATGCTGCAGAGAAATCAAGAGATTTGGACTTAAAAGTATCCATTGAATTTAGTGGCAAGAAGGTCCACTAAAAAGGTCCTTGACAATAATACTTTTGACAGACTGCTGGGGACAGAAGCCTGACTGCACCTAGCATGAGAAGGGAATGTAAGAGAGCATTGCAGAAGGTACATGACATCAACTATTTTAAAAGTAAAATATAAGTGTTTTTTAAACCAAGAGTGATGTTAGTGTGTTAAAATGCTGAGCAGCTTTCTGATTCAAGGTGGCTGACAGACTCAGTACACAAGCTTCTTTCCAAATTCTTTATTGTTTAACAGTAGTATCTGCAGGGGCACTAGAAATCACGTATATTCTGTTGGTGCAACAGAGACAAGGAAGGGTTTCTGGAAGATGTGAAGGAAGGAGAGAGGCATAGGGAGGGAGGGAGAGAAAGAGAGAGAGAGAGAAACCTGAGAAGAAGGCTCCATGGTCAGCATGGAGTCTGACATGGGGCTTGATCCCATGATCCTGGGATCATGACCTGAGCTGAAATTGAGAGTTGGATGCTTAACTGATTGAGCCACCCAGGTGCCCCCAAGTTATTACTTTTTTGTAGTTTCTGTATCTTTGTTGATATTCTTATTTTACTCATACATTTTTTTCCTGATTTTATTTAGTTGGTTGTCTGTGTTTTGTGTTTTTTGTTTTTTTAGTGTATTAAGCATATTTAAGATGATTATTTTGGATTCTTTGTCAAATACTTCAGAGATATCTATTTAGGACTTATTTCTGGAGATACATTTTGTTTTTTTGATTGGCTATGTTTCTCTATTTCTTTTTATGCCTTGTGATCTCATGTTGAGATTTGGGTATTTGAAGGAAAAAGTCACTTTTTCCAGTTTTATAGATTTGCTTTGTATAACGGAAGATCTCTGTCAATCAGCCTCGCTGGAAACTCTGAGGACTTCTCAAGCCTTTTCTGGGGTATGATTTCTCTAGTCCTGTTGTATACTTTCCCAGTTAAGTTTTTTATTCATTATTAAGAATTTGTAATCTCTTGCTCACATTGGTGCCTTCCATACTGTAGTCTCTATGGTGCTATGGTAAGCTGTGGCACTACTTTGTTCTCAGGGTCCTTCAATCTGGTATTTAAAGTATATTGCCTTTTTCATTAGTGCTCTGAGTCTGTGGGTCAGAAACCATTTACTTTCTAATTTCCTGTTTTGTTGTGGTGTTTTTGGGGTGCCTGAGTGGCTCAGTTAGTTGAGTGTCTGACTTCAGGTCAGGTCATGATCTCATGGTTCATGAGTTTGAGCCCCTCATAGCGCTCACTGCTGTCAGCCTGTCAGTGCAGAGCCTGCTTCACATCCTCTGTCCCCCTCTCTCTCTGCCTGTCCCCCCACCTACACACTGTCTCTCAAAAATAAATAAAACATTAAAAAAAGAAAATAGTAAGGAAAATCAAACTTCATGTATAGAGATGTAAGAAGTAGAATAGTGCAAAAATCAGTATTATAATTCTATATAAAATATTTTTTAAAAACACATTCTTAGCAATGTTAGAGACAATTTGGTGTGAATGAACCATAATGCTACTTGTCTCCTGTCTGTTAGTAAAGTATCAATATAAATATAATTTTAAAAATAAATAAATTTCACACCAAATCAAGCTTTCTTAATTTCTTTGTTCAAACCTAGACTTGTTCCACAGGAGTTAAAGGTTATTGCTCACATGTTAAAACACAGAATGTACACACTGTATTTGATAGATTCTATGTATCAGAAGGATTGCAAAGACTAAATGCATTATTGTAATTTTATGCTGAAATGGAAATAATTTTGACTAGATCTAGAATATATTATGCTAATCAATGGTTTTGAAAGACTGAAAGGGAGAAGAAAAGAAGAGGTAGCAACTTGAGTGCAAGGTCAAAAGTCCAAGAGGCATGGGCTGAGTACATGCCCCCTTCTCCTGAGTTGTCTTCATGGGGCAGCAGGGCAGGGCATGGATTTTGGTGTCCTGGGGTAGTGGTGGTATGTGGGGGAGAACTGAACACAGCCACAGAAAGCACTGCATTCAGATCAGGGCCTGCAGAAATTGTAAACAGTTTCAGGGAGAACTTTATAGATATAAAGGTATAAAAAACAGACTTCAGATTGGATACATGTTAGGGGTGCCAAGTGGGAAGCTATTGTTGGCTTAGGACTCTGCTTCAGAGCAAGTTGACAGTGGGACTGTTTTAGATATTCAATAGACTCTTGTTAAGCTTCACTTGATCATGTTGGGGAATGGCTGACATCTTGACAGTCTGGTTATTTTTAGGTCTGGGTCTGGGTTGGGCATCCTTTAGTTAGCAGTGATCATGATGAACCTGTGATGAGACTGTGGCAGGAGCAGGAAGGGAGAGACTCTATTCTGAGCAGTTAAAAATGCAGGTTTTGGAACCATTGGAGCTGTGTTTGAAACTAAATTCCAACACTTCTTATTTGAGTAACTTAACTAACATCTCTAAGTTTTGGTTTTCTCTGTGGGATAATAATGCCATATTCAAAGAACTGTTGTAAAAATAAAATGTAAAAATAAAAGTTCCATTAGAACTTTCCTTGACGATAGAAATATTTTCTAATGTCCAAGTAATAGCTACTAGGTATGTGTGGCTACTGAGCACTTGAAACTTAACTGGTGGAAATGAGGAACTGGATTTTATTTATTTTTAATTAATTTAAACAGGCACATGTGGGTAGTAGCTAGTATATTAGACAGCAGCTAAAGATGATAGTTTTCATAGGTACTACTTAAAATATTAAAAGTTAGTTTTTTCGAATTTACTTGACTAACATATTCTTTCAGTTACATATTTTTGTGCTTGTTATATTTTGTTTGATGTGCAATGAAGTATACAGTGATGTTTCTATCTTGGAAAAAAAGTGAAAATTTTAATAAGCACAAAGGAGACAATATATACATATAAGGGATGTAATATACTTTAATCTTAATCACAAAAGGATTACACTAAGTGTAGAGAACTTCAGAAGAACAAATGATCTCTTCAGTTTTCAGTATTTGCAGGATGAATGAACCACTTGCACTGGTTATTGAAGCATGTTATATGTTTTGGATAGGTAGAAAGAAAGAAAACAAACTTTCAGATAGAGGCATGGTGAAAATTAAACTAGTAGGATAAGAACCCACAAGATATGATCAAGGCTCAGTGAGTAAGCTAATTTGCCAAAGTAAGGAGGTGGTTTAGAAGATGAAATTAAGCTGGAAAAGTGGTTTGGAAGATGAGATCAACCATATCATATGTTATAGCTGCCTTTGAATGATGGTTAAAAAGCATGGGATTTATCTTTCAGGCACTGAAAATTCAGAATCATTGAAGTATTTAGAGCCAAGGAAAAATACAGTCCCAAAATCCTGTTTTAGGAAAGTAACCCTAATAGATTTGTGAGGAAGAGAGAAATGAGTTAGGAAGCTTACACTAGTATGGGCAAGAGGTAAAAGGTTTCTGAACCAGAAGGGTGGCTATACAAATGAGACTTCGTACAGGGAAAATTGACAAAGATTTTTGGTGGATTAGCATATGATTGTGGATTCACTGGAAAGAGGTGAGTCAAGATGTGACTCAAAGACTGAATGATAGCGCTGGCTGAGGTGAGAAAGAGAGTTAAGTATATAGGATGTAGTAACTGATAGGGATAGGTGTATTATAGAAAGAACACTGAAGTGAATTGGAAAGTTTTATGGGGAACAGAGTTACATGATGGCTACTTGGCTACCAAGAACTTTCTGAGAGAAATAGTCATTATCTACATATTTTAGTGCTACATTGAGAAATAAGCCTGAAAGAACACTTACTATGAAAATTTTAGTGTTTTCTTATATAAGGAATGATGAATTTTAATTTTAACAAACACATGATCTGTAGAAAACTTACATAGAATGATAATTAGCAATGATGCTGTGATTGTAACTAGTCATGATTGAACCTCCTTCCTTCCACACGGCCATCCTGTTTCCACTCTCCACCTTGTCCCCGTCTCTGCCAGCTTTACCGCCTCACTTTTAGAGTGAACAAAAGCAAACATAATAAACAACTAGTCTGAGAACCTTCCCCAGTATCATGTGGTCTGAGCAAAAAAATTTTATTGATTATTACCCAGTAAGTTAGGTAATAAACTAAAAAATTTTTGGTTGTTTTCTTTTTTACGAGAATTAGAAGTGGAAAGTTAGACTGGTATCAGCCATTTTCTTCTTGTAGTCTTCATCAAATCTCTCATTCTGAGCCACAGTAAAGTGATTTTTCCAGTCTCCAACTGTTCCTGAAACAATCACGTAGGAGAGAGTCAATTTGTATTTCTCTATTCTCCTGTTTCTGTGTGAATATTTCTATTCTACCTTCCTGGGAGGGTGGGGGGAGGCAATATTGAACAAAACATTTCTGTTGCTAACTTGTCAGTTTCATTCTGAAGGGAAGAAGAATTTCTTATCTGATCCAGTAATGGGAGAGCCCATTACCCATGGAGTCACATTGATGGGGGAAATGAAACTACAACAATTAAAACAGCAGGCTTGGGGGAATTTCTTATCTTTTTCTCCTGTCCTCTTTGCATATCAAAGTGTGGTAGGTGCTACAGCTTTCATGCTATAGACCCACCTGGAAGGACTTGTATGTGAGAGAATTCAAGGTATAGTTTTGAGGAAGAAAACAAAAAAGTATCCCCCAAATCCTCCAATTGCAATCCCTATTACCTTTTCACAGATTGCCGTTTTTCTCCTGTAGTGCTTACCATCATCTATTATCCTCCATATTGCTGTTTATTTTGTTTGTGGCTAGAATATAATGTTCATGAGGGAAGAAAATTCTGTGGTTTTTTTTGTTTGTTTTTTCACTGCTCTGGACATTATCTAGAGTACTGCCTGGTACATAGTAGCCACTTAGTAAGTATTTTTGAATAAATGCATCTAACTGATACCATAAAGCCCTTGTAAGTCCATTATAAAATGGATTCTTTGCCTCATCTGACTTAATTCTGTATGTTTGTAAGTGATCAGCCAGATCTCTGGAGACAGATGGGATTTAGACACCACATCTTACTCTATAATTGTCTAAACATTGTTTCCATTTCATTCATTGTTTCCCAAATACTGCTTTTCCCAGAATCATTTGTTATAGATCTGTTTTTTCTTAGCCACAGAAAAGAAAATTCCCCCAAGGCTGTGAAAGATTGGACAATTCTTTTAAGATTATGACCAAAAGAAAATATAAAAACCTTTTCTCATGAATGGAGAAACAGAGTGGTTCATGATTTCAGTAGGAATTGTTGTATAGTTTGCCATTGGATTCTGCTTCATAACATCAAATGAAGTGTGATGGAGAATTTTATCTAGAACTTCATAATCTAGGTTCTTTCCAATAAATTCTGCCAGCTTCTGAATTTCATGCTTTGGATTCTATGAGAGTCAAAAGAAAAGTGAAGATTTTATATAAAATAACTGGTTTAAAAAGAATATTGAAATGAATTAGTAGCAGTAATCAGTAACATGCCATGAGATAAAATTTAAAAATCTTATATCATAAATGGTCAACTATCCATAAATGACTCATTTTAACATGATGGCCCATAATATTCTCTTTTTTTACTAACTGGAAGTATTAAGCTTTTCTTGTTCTAACATAGAAGCAAAAACTGAATAGTGTTAGTGAAACATTCACCCTACAATGACATGCAGTGCATGGAGAGTGTTTCACTAAGAGTTATGCCCAAGTGTCCTATGCAAGTTAATTATTGGGGGTATCCAACAGGGAGAGTCCATAGACGGATGATAAGAACAAAGGTATTGTGAAAGTATAGGGGCAGACAATTTAAGGAGGCTATCTCCTGTTTCTGACATTGATAGAAATGTCCCCAGACCATTTCAGTGGTGACGGTAAGTGGTGGCAGGAGAATGAGAGATGACTATTTTGCACCCATGAAGTACTTAAGAGACACCCATGACTAATAACTCTACTACCCAGCATGTCCAGGTTTTTATGTGTCCTTCAGAGTTCCAATGTTTCTTCATTGGAGGGATACACTACCCTGCGGAGCTGTGGCTGTGAGAAGTCCCTATCTCTAGGAGGAGTGGTAGGGGAAAGAAAGTAGAAAGATATAGCCTGACATCTGTGTCTTTTGCTTTAAAAGCTTGGATGTCGAAAGTGCTTAATTTAACTGGCTTCACATAGACTAGGAATCCCCAATGATTACAGCAGCACTATCAACAATAGCCAAATTATGGAAAGAGCCCAAATGTCCATCAACTGATGAATGGATAAAGAAGATACGCTATATATATATTGTATATATATACATTATGTATATATATACACACACAATGGAATACTACTCGGTAATCAGAAAGAGTGAAATCTTGCCATTTGCAACGATATGGACGGAACTAGAATGTATTATGCTAAGTGAAGTAAGTTAGAGAAAGATAAAAATCATACGATTTTACTCATATGTGGAATTTAAGAAACAAAGCAGATGAACATAGGGGAAGGAAAGGAAAAATAAGACAAAAACAGAGAGGGAGGCAAACCATAAGAGTCTTAAATACAGAGAACAATCTGAGGGTTGCTGGCAGAGTGTTGGGTTGGGGATGGACTAAATGGGTGATGGACCTTAAGGAGGGCACTTGTTGGTATGAACACTGAGTATTAAATGTAAGTGATGAATCACTAAATTCTTCTCCTGAAACCACTATTACACTATATGTTAACTAACTTAGATTTAAATAAATTTTTTTAAGAAGAGAAAAAAAAGAAAAGCTAAGAGAAATTACACCAAAAAAAAAAAAAAAAAAAAAAAGGAGTGGAGAGAATATTGAGCTTTGAGAGACTACTTAGGAGACATTCCAGAACATGATCACAGAAATGTTTAAAAGAGCTCTAGGGATTCTGAGGTTTGACTACCTGTTCAATAAAGTTTCTTCCTGGCATCATAATACATTAGGGTATATCCCGTTAAGAGGGCATTATTCCTGATAATCTATCCTTATTTTGACCCTATGATACATATAATATATGGATGAGCATCACCTACATGGAGTTTTCCTACTCTGTGTTTAATAGTAGAGTATTCTTTCCTTCTGTGGCTTCCTCAGTTTGTCATATCTACTCATGAAAGAGCAAAGTCTTCCCTTATATGACTCCCTGCCATTATATTTTTTTCTTTTTTTTTTTAAATTTATTTCTGAGAGAGAGAGAGACAGCATGAACAGGGGAAGGTCAGAGAAAGGGGGAGACACAGAATCTGAAATAGCACAGAGCCTGACGTGGGGCTCGAACCCACAAACCATGAGATCATGATCTGAGCCAAAGTCGGACGCTTAACCGACTGAGCCACCCAGGTGCTTCCTGCCATTATATTTCTTAACTGAGTATCTAAATCTAGAATTCTGTAGATAACTCTTTACACTAAAATAGGGCACATATCTGACCTTTTCTGTTTGAAGAAATTGTAGAGTGGAATCTAAACAACCACCACCAAACTTATAGAGAAAAGATTGATGTTGCCAGAGGTGGGGAGTAGGGGTGGACAAAAGGTACAAACTTCCAGCTATAAAATAATTAAGTCCCGGGGATGTAATGTACAGCATGGTGACTATAGTTAATAATACAATGTTGTCTATTTGAAAGTTGCTAAGAAAATAGATCTTAAAATTTGTCACAAGAAAAAATTCTGTAACTATGTGTGGTGATGGATGTTAACTAGACTTATGGTGGTACTCATGTCAAAACATATAAAATATTAAATCATGCTGTACACATAAAAATAATATAATTTTAAATGTCTATTATATCCTGACTAAAAAATAGAAAAGTGATTCTTTTCCACTCTTTTGATATTCTATAGAAACAGCTAGATAAGGCCTAGCAGTGATTGAACCCAGGAGACATACATCTAAGTGAATGTGCCCACAAATCCCCTAGGCATCTTAGAAGGCAACTTATAAGGTGCACATTCTGACTTAGTAGGCCTAATGTGGGCTCTGAGAGCCCTGTGCAGCTAGTCTGTGAACCACCTTTTGAGTACCAAGGCTTTCAGTGATAGTTGAAGAACAGAGTCTATAATTTTCATAGATGTCTATATTTAAGTCATAGCTAATATTGGGCATATTGCCATTTATAGTAAACTCCCATGAAGCTCATCTTATTTAGTCCTCATAGTAGATATTGGAAGAGTATATATTACTGTCTAGTTTTTGCTTTTAGGAAAACTAAGTAAGTCTCTAAGATGTTAAGTGTCCTCACCAAGAATAATTGCCAGTAGGTGGTAAAGCCAGGACTTGAATTCAGGAATTTTAAATCTAAATCATTAGTATTTTCCCTTACACTCTAAATTCTTAACCCATTCTTAAAATTATGATGTTTCTCAAATACTGGTGAAAAAACACAAAATGTGCCATTTCCTTTCTAAATGGAATTTTTGAAAAGATATGAAAGAGGAAAAAACAGGTATCACTTGTATTTTGCCTATATGGAAACAGTGTACCATATCCCAGAGCACCAGGAAATTGTAGATGAAACTATGTGATACATAAAATCCTGATATCCCATATGTTCTTTGATTCATGGACAACAGTAACCAATGAAGTGCAGCATTTTCTATTCCCTGTTTCAATCTATGAGTCCCTGGTCGGATTCGTACACTATGACTTAAATGTCTTATTGTTCAATGGGAACATATATAGCACTGCCCTTCACCTTCTTCAGGTCCTCATAGAAGAGGTAGAGAATGCGGTTTTGATCTTTGGCTTTCCACCATCCTTTCACGTGGTCATGCCAAGATCCCCAGCACACTGCAAGGAGGGATGAAAAACAGGGTAATGAAACACAGAAGCTCAACAAGCAAATATTCCACTGAAAGATTTCCTAAAGAGAGGGAGAGTATTGTACTGATGATTTCTTCACAGTAAAACAGGCAGAGGCCCAGCTATTTCTAAGGAAATGATTTTTTCTTTTTAGAGTGTTTGAGAATTTTAAGAAAGGAAAGAAATAAAACTGAATTCTCTTACCTTTCCCAGCCAGAAAAGTCTCAAAATACTCTTCCCAGTTTCCTGGATCAGGAAGACCTTTATTCATTCTTTGGAAATGGTAATAAGACACCATATTGTCCTTAGGATTTCTCGCTACATAGATTATCTAGGAATGGCAGGAGGAGGGAAATAGCAAAAATAGGATTCAATTTATACTTGGTCATTGCTCATACAAATTATGTTCAAGTGGGTACATTGAGTAAATTGTGAATTCCTTTTGATTTTACCTTACAGTTTTTCTCTAGGAAGGATGGTGGCAGCATTTGGATGGGAAGGTGTGTTTTCAGAGTCCGTGGTGAGGACATTTGCTTAGCTTGTTCCAAACCTGCAAAATTGATTTTTGATCACTTCCCACTATTTTTTTTCTATTTGCTTCAAAATCTTACTGCTTCTTTTATTACTACTTTAGGAACAGTTGAACAATTCAAGGTAGCTGTGAGAGCACTGTAACTAGATCTGTTATGAGAGAATATGTCTAGCTTATTAATGACTTTTTTTTTTAAAGCTAAACCAGTCTTTAACCATAACAAACAAGAAACCAAACAGATAAGAACCTTAAAAATTCAAACCCTCCCACCATGAAATTATCTTACTTGGCTCAACCTGTGGAATAAAATTAATTTCTAATGGAGAATAAAAACTTAACTTGTGTATAATCAGTAACTCCATTAGAAAATGTCTGGAGTATAGCAACAGCCAGACAGTTTAAAAAATGCAGTCACAGAATTCAAGCAGTAATTGCTTGAATGGCTAGAATTTAATTTTTTTCTAGGTTTTCAAAGTGGTTGTATTAATTCTTATGTCTTTTCTATGATTTTTTTTCAGCTTGAATGCCTATGAATGTGATCATAAAAAAGCCCAGGTGTATATTTAGGACTATACAAGTGTGTTATTCCATACTCACCAGTTCTTATGGATGGGATTACCCATTCGATGAAAGGAATTCGTATATGAGTAGGTGCTCTTTGACTTTTGTGAACATCACCTTCATTTTGTATTAAGTCCACTATCTCCTGAGTCCATGTTGTTCCTTATTCCACATGTAAGATGAAGATGCATAGACATTTAGTATACTGCATTTCTTAAAAAAATTTTTACGTTTATTTATTTTTTAAAGACAGACTGCAAGTGGGGGAGGGGCAGAGAGAGAATGAGACACAGAATCTAAAGCAGGCTCCAAGCTCTGAGCTGTCAGCACAGAGCTCAACTTGGGTCTCGAACTCACAAACCGTGAGATCGTGGCCTGAGCTGAAGTCGGATGCTTAACTGACTGAGCCACTCAGCCTTCATTAGTATAGTACGTTTCTTAAAATATGATCATATTTGTTAGAACATCTCTCTGAATTTTAAAGCCAGGTTGATAGTGGAATTCAGAAAACATGATTTTTTATTTATGTCTTATCAAAATATGAACTTTTATACAATGGCTGCAATTTGGAATGGACATTATATTGATAAATATGCAGTTCATTTTTTTGCCTGTCACAACCATTAATTTGGATTGTTATCCTGTTGATGTAGCTGTGTTGTTCATAAGAAAGGCATAATGAAAAGTCTTTCTCACCCAATTATGATCTCTTGGAGAGTAATGACCATGTGGTTTTCAAACTGTTTTCCCAAGCACATAGTATGGGGCTGCCACATAGGAAGTACTTAATATATGTTGGCTGAATGAACAAATGAACAATTAGTATCTGGGCTGGGTATTGATCATTAGTACTTCATATCCATTTTCACCCATTTCTCAATTTTCCCCTTATCTTAGGGACTGAAATGCTAAAAAGTACATTATCTAGACTTCTTTGCCACTAAGATTCTGATTCCCCTGATGAAATGCATTGGAACATGGAAGTGAGATAGAGGTCATTCTTCTGGAGAAGTAGCTTCAACAGATAGAAATTTTGCAGAGGCGATACTTTATTTTGCTTCCCAGGGTCTTACGTGCAAGAAGCCACTGGAAGAAGGGCCCTCTGTCTCCCAGGCCCAGTTAGTTTCTGTGTGCTGCCTGATTCTGATTGATACAGTGCCTACCAACAAAATCTTCATCCTTTGATGAAGAGCTATTGTACTAGACATCCTGACAAATCCCTCGGGAACAATTTGATAATGGTTCTTCGAATCCTGGATCTGGGCTAATCTTCTTATTTTCTTTGACATCAGCTATCATTATAGACTTCTTTTATCATACTGTCAATTAAATGCTTTTAGTTCTACAGGAAGGGCACAGGTTAGGAAGCAATGAAAAAATTACATTTTATATCGTAGATGAGTTGGTCTCTAATATTTTCTGGCATCAACTCTTTTATTACAGGATAAAGGACAATATTTCTTTAGTTATCTAGTCAAAAAAAGTTAGACCTATTTGTACTGGTTTTATGTGTTCACTCTGAATTTATGGCCATGGGCCAGCTAACATTGGGGCAGGTTCACAGGTTGCTAGAGGTTTGGGGAAAATAGAATGGACTTCTCAATTCATCCTCTAGAGGTCAGTGATTTTATAACTTATTTTTCTCTTGGCTCATTCACAGAGTATTTATTATTCTTTTAAAAATTTAGGGGTAAACCATATTTTTAAATCCATGCTTATTTCTTCTTCCCTCCAATAAATATAGCCTTTATTAATGGGTAAGGTTTTAGTGCTGATTAAATGTTACATTAGCTGGCAAGCATTTTGTTTTTTGAGTGTGTTATTTGGATTGTTCAAGCACCATTAACCCTATCCGATGAAAACCTTTAATAAGCCAAATCTTACTGTTCACATTTGGGAGATGGAAAAAGATTAATTATTAAACATTATGCTGAAATGATATAAACGTGCTGAAATGATGATTAAGTAAAGTTTTGGACAAAATTAAGACTGTGAGATGTGATTTTTACCAGTGAATTATTTTACATTCACAAATTTAGGAAAGTTTAATCCTGAACAGTCTCATGTTCAGATTGGAAAATTAGGAGTCTAAGGCTTCCATCTACTGGCAGTCTTTTATTAAGATCATTAGAGATAAAATGTCAAGAAGGGTTTGAATATACAGTCTCAGAAAATGTTAGGGTAGATTTTTTGCTGTGTGTGCCTGTGTGGGGTGGGTGTGTGTGAAAGAGGGGTTATTGACTAGGAACTTGATTTTTGCAAAAAGTAAATGTATATACAATCTGGCTGTGAATTGAATACTGTATTTTTAGTGTATATGTAATCTGCACAAATACCTGTAGACAACTATTTCTCTCTGCCCATCCTAAAAATTTTATGATACAGAGGCTGGGCTCAAACAGTCTTACTTTTATAGCAAATTTTGTTAAACTGATTACTGAAACAAGGAAGTATGTTTACAACATACCATGAGAGAAGATGGAAATCAAAAGAGTAGTTTTCAGACACTGAACTGAGAGACTTTTGAGGGCTTCTGGAGGCTGCAGAGGTGAAATCAGCATCATAGGACCAAAGCTCCTGTAATTCTTCCCCAAGTCAGCCTTGGGATCCCCTTTTTAGCTCACACATATAAAGCAGTTTTTGTTTTGTTTACAGGATCTGAAGTAAGGAACAAACAAATCAATAAATCTAGCCCTTTAGTTCTTAGCTGTTTAATTCACTCTCTACTGGGGAAGTAAAAAAAAAATATGTACATCAGGGGCTCTTGGGTGGCTCAGTGGGTTTAAGTGTCCAACTTTGGCTCAGGTCATGATCTCGTCATTCCTGAGTTTGAGCCCTGCATCGGGCTCTGTGCTGACAGCTCAGAGCTTGGAGGTTGCTTCAGATTCTGTCTCTCTCTCTTTCTGCCCCTCCCCTGCTCACACTCTGTCTCTATCTCTCTCTCAAAAGTAAACAAAACATTAAAAAATATGTACATCATAAGAAGAATTAAATTCTTAAAATTTGTAAGTGATTTTAGTATATTTTTTCTGTAGTTTCAGTTTCCACAAGGGATATATCTTAGTCATAGCACTCTGTCCAGTAAACAATTTCCCACTCCAACCCATATCAGTTTGTTTCATTATTAATGTACTTTCCCCACTTACCTTCCTCTCTCCCTTTTTCACCTTCCCCTCTCCCCTACCTCCTACCTGCTTTAGGATAGGTGGCAATAAGTAGATCATCAGGCTTGGCTTGGAAGTTCCAGATCTGGTCCCAGATATCACAGGTAGGTACAGGTTGCATAATCCCCTTCACATAGTTGACAGGCAGGCGCTCTTTTCCATCAAATTTAAAATCTTCCATTTTATTTAAGGCCCTTAGTATCAGAAGTCAGAGTACTATACCAGATAAAATGTTACTGCTCAGTCAGCACAAAGCTGAATTCCTGTTATTCTACAGACAATGCAAGACTTAGACTGCAGGTTCTACCTGGACAGCCTGGAGATCACTGGCAATTAGTGTGCAAAGCAGCTATAGGCCTGCCAGCCCCAGTTCCAGGAAACAGGGCACTATTGTTTAGGCCTTTGTACTCAGGCCTTTTCTTAATGAGCTCCAGCCCTCCTCCCATCCAGGCTCTGACGTAATACCAGAGGCCCTCCCATCTCCTGGCTGCTGTGTCATGTTCATGTTCAGTACTGTTCTTTGTGTAAGTTTAATAAGAGTCAGTCCCATGTTTTTTATGTTTCTCTTCATTGTGTTCATAAAATAATTCACAGATATTCATTCATTGTCCCTTCTGTGAATGTTAAGCTAATTAAAAAGTTGCAGGGAATTTTGCTCACTGAATGGAGGCAGCAATATAGAATAACTTTCCTGAAAGACTGAGGGGAAATTTCTATGGGGTACTGGCAAGAAGGTCCTAGATTTGAATCTCCCAGCACAAATATCTGTAAGAGTCAGTGTTACTATTTTTAAGATTAAGATAAAATATGCTCTATTAGAAAAGGGTCTCTTCCTTTCGTAGGCCATACAGTGTCAGTATCAGAATGTGCATGTTTCATGTAAAGCAAAAGAGATGAAGAAAACTCCTTGCTTTTTTCCTTGGAACCATTTCTGGTTCCTTCTTGGGTTTTCTCCTCCTGTTTCAACCATAACCTTTTTTCACCTCTAAAACAAGGCCAGATCCCTTTTAGTTTTTAACTGCTAAATATTACAGGTCACCCACTTAATTTCCCTGTCTCTTGTGATGTAAGAAAGAGTATATCTGGTCTTTGTCTCTGATTCCTTGAACAGAGTTTCAAAAACTCCTCAAAGTTCCTGAGTGATTGGAGTGTCTTTGGTTATTCATAATGAGTCCCTTTAGACTCTACCTGAGTTTATACTAAATGAGGTGACTCCTGGTGGGCCCTTAGATAGTTTCAGAGGAGGGGCTGGCCACACCAGAAAGATCAAGCAGGTTATTAGAGGGTTGGAACTTTTAGAACCACTCTAACCTCCAGAGAACAGAGAGGGGCTAGAGACTGAGTCCAATCATGTGACCAGTAACACAATAAAACTACTCACCAAAGTTCTTGGTTGGTGAACACATTGATGTGTTTGGCAGTATATCCAGATTTCATGAGGAAAGGGCATGACAGCTCTATTTTCCCTCTCCTTCAAGAACTTGCCTTGTGTACCTCTTTCATTTTATTGTTCCTGATCTAAATCTTTTATGATAAAACTGTAATTGTAGGTATAGTGCTTTCAGTGAGTTCTGTGAGTCATTCTAGTAAATTATGGAAACTTCAAATTTACAGCTGGTTTGTCAGAAGTGCAGATGGTCCCAAATACTTGTGGCTGACATCTGAAGTAGGGGGGCAGTCTTGTGAATGACTTTGGCTTTAACTTGTGGGGTCTGCACTAACTCGAGGTAGTTAGTGTCAAAACTCAATTAAATTGCAGGACACCCAACTGGTGTTAGAGAATTGCTTTTGGAATACCTCTCTTGGCCCAGGCTTTCTCAGAATCCATTCTGTTTGAGGTAGTCAGGAGTTTCATTTTTGTTTAAAGGCTTCCCCGCTCAAACTTTACATTATCCCATGACGACCTTCATAACCTTCATGCAGAGGTCTTTGCCTATACCCCGATATGCCATACTCTCTCCCTCTTTTTTTTTTCTTTTTTAGCTTATTGTCAAGTTGGTTTCCATATAACACCCAGTGCTCATCCCAACCAGTGCCCTCCTCCATGCTCATAGTCTCTCCCTCTTATGAGGGCTGCAGTCAGAAAGGCTTTTGTTCCATCCTGGCAGATCCTAGGCTCCCTCCTGTGCTTCCTTTCTTCTCCTGGTACTGTGTTTGGTCTCTTCCCTGTCTGGTTCTCATTTGTTCCCTAGTTTCCTCCAAGCCTTTTTTAATGTCTTCCTTAAATGTACTATTTCTGGAGAGGTTTTCTCTGAGCTTCAGTGTCATCTGAAGTAGGTCCCTCCTATTTCCTGGCTAGGGACAACTTCTTTTCCTTTAGAGCCGTTATTAGAATTTAGTCTTGTTTATTTGTTCACATTTTCTATCTCCCATTCTACACTCAAAGACATGTAAAACAGAGCCTGGGCTCTGTCTTGTTTCTCACTCTATGCCACTGAGTGCCTAGCATGCTATTATTTCTTGAGATAAAGAATGAGTAAACCTAAAAAGAAAACTGAAGAAGTGAGTTCTTGGAGCCATCATTGTTGGGGGGATTGGTAAGCCTGGGGATTTGGTACTCCTTAGACAGAAGTCAGACTGCCTGCATTTGAATTCTGTGCCATCCCTAGTAGCTGTGGACCTGCAGACTTGGCATGCATTGGGCATCAAAGGTAAAGTTATGCTCTTTTCTCCTTCAATTCTTTCCTGAACGTCCCCCCCTCTTCTTCTTCCTCCCCTCTCCCTCCCCCTCCTTCCCCATCTCTTTCTCCTTTTCTTTCTTCCTCTTCCTCCTTTTTCTTCTCCTCCTCCTTCTTCTTCTACCCTGTTACTGTTATTTCTCGGTGTAGAGAGAAGATTCCAACTCTCAGTGCACTCTTTGCATGTCCCAGATACAAACTGTAGTAAGTGTTCAGGCCAAAAGTGTGATCCATTTGAAAAAATTATGACTGGGCTTTCTAATCTATTTTTCTTAGGAAATGTCAGAGTGTTGATTACTCTCCTTAAACAGGTTCTTTTAAAAATGTTTTTGCTGGGGTGCCTGGGTGGCTCATCATTTATATGTCTGACTTCAGCTCAGGTCATAATCTCACGGTTCATGGGTTCGAACCCTGCATCAGGCTCTGTTCTGATGGCTAGCTCAGAGCCTGGAGCCTGCTTCAGATTCTGTATCTCCCTCTCTCTCTGACCCTTCCCTGCTCACTCTCTCTCTCTCTCTCTCAGAAATAAATTTTAAAAAAACATTAAAAAATGTTTTGGCAAAAAGAATATATCTAAAATGTATTTTGGTTTAGCAAACTTTTTAAAAAAACAACTATTGGAAAGTGAGCTAAATTTATTTAAATAAATTTAAGTATTGAATAAAATTTAATTGAAATTGTGTTCAATTCTAGGTCAATATCTAACTTAGGTTCATTAAAGATGTCTCATTTGTTATCCAAACCTTCAAACCAAACCAGGAGGAAGAAGGAACAGTAAGATAGTAATCAATAAGACTTTAATATCCAGACTATGCTGGGATTGAAAAACATCTATGGTTTACCCATAACTTGTTTCCATTCCACTGCTTTCTATTTAAATTGCTTTATGGCCATTCTCTTTCAATGCTCTCTTCCAGAAGTGAGTAGGGAAAAAATGAAACTGAAATGAGTTGTATTGTTACTTGCTACTTTAACCAACTCCAGAGATGGGAGTTGGTTATGAACTCTACATGAAGTAAGGACGTAGGGAATCTTTACTCTCAGATAATTCCTTAAGACATAAACTCAAGAATCCTTTACATTCTTGGAAAAATAGGCTGTGTCAAAATACAGAACATCTGGTTAAATTAGAATCAGATAAATAATGAATGAATTTTCAGTATAAGCATATTCCATGTGATATTTGGGACATGCTTAAACTTAATTTTTTTGTTGTTGTTTTTCTAAGATACAAATGTAACTGGGTGTTCTGTATTTTATTTGGAAACTCTAGGTAGGCAGGAAGATGCTAGTTAAATCTAACTTCAAAACAGAAAAATTCTGGAAGCCTAATGAGTGGTATTAGAAACATGACTGAAACAGAAAGCCCTTCAGAATCTTACATAAACTGAGAGACTGCCAGTCTCTTTGGCACTGGTTTGTGGGCAAATGTGTACTGTTTGAACTTCCCAGTCATTAGCATCTTTGTAGGTTCTTCTTCTAGGGCTGAGATTTACTTAGTTTATTTTGTGGAGATGACACTACCTCATGGGGGAGTATGGGGGACTAAGTGTGGGTGACATAAAATTTTCAGTGTGGAAAGCAGTGAACAGAAATTGGTATAAGTCAAGTGTCTTAGGTGAGATTTTATGTATACTCTTCCTTGACCTATCTTTATTAATTTTGAGGGATTTAGGAACAGGGAGAGATGGTGGGCACATGTGGACCTCTTGATACTGCTGTGTCTTGAAACACTTATTCATTGTGCTACAGCATATCCCAATATAGCATATTCTCCAATGTCCAGCTTTCTCAAATCAAAAAAGAAAAGAAGGTATTTTGGTGCCAAAAAAGGAGTTCTTGAGCTCCCAGCATCAGTGAAGAAAGGCAAGAAGAGCAGGGAAGCTGCTATAGCTAACATGTTGGGAATTCTGATTGATGGTAAAGGGAAGACACTCTGGTCTCTGAAGCAGTTTTGCAAGAACCACAAGAAGACCTCCATCTCTGGGCTAGGGGTCACTTTTCTTTGTCAGTGTTCCTAGGTGCTCAGGCCGCTCTGTTTTTCTGTGAAGTAGCCACTGCCGGATTCTTTTCCCAACAAGCCAGACTTGGGGAGTGAGTGGGGTCTATTCTCTATGCCTTCCCCTCACTCACCTGAAAGTAAGCACACAAGCTCTTTCTCTTTTCAACCTTTGATGCTTATTGCTATACAGTAACAGAAGGGTAACAAAAGATAGCCAGTGGGGGATATACAGAATTTGGAATTTTACTGGTCTCTATTTCCTGACTTCCTTGTCTCTCTCTGAAACTTCATGTTCCTCCCGGACCAGGATATAGCTGCTTTCAGAAATTGGAAAATCAGAGGAGGTAGCAGTCAGCATTGACAATGGGAAGAAAGGATGGAGACAGAGAGCAGGAGACTTTGGCCTTTGATAAAGAAATCCACACAGATGAAGAGGGGAGAGTCAATTCCCATTTATTAAGTGCCTGCCATGTGTAGAATCTTGTGACTGCCTCAGAAGAAAGAAAGACACAGTCTCTGCTGTCAGGGAATTTTCAGTCTGATGCAGAGATATATACTCAATAAAGCAATTAGAATATAGGATGATATTTACTTTAATGGGTTTATGGACACAGTGTTCTAGAGCACTGGAGAAGGACAATTACAGTCTTCCTGGACTTGGGAGAGGTATTCCAGAATAAAGAA